AAACATTGTTTCTTATGTTATTAATGCCATATGATTTCTATTCTGCTGGTTGGTGTAGACTCAGGAACATTACATAAGTACCTATCATAGGGGAAGGCATCCACTCATGTACTCTTAATCCATTGCCGGCAATCTTGCAGATTGCAGCTGGAAATGGGAGGATTTCTAATATAATACAATTTCCTTTTGGGAAATACAAAAGGCCAAGCAGCATGATGGCATTTCTGAGAGTCCTCTCACCTCCCATACTGACCCCTCTCATTTTTCACTCTTAATTATATGCCCAGTGCCGCACATGGTGGCACTATTTCAGAATACAATCGAGTACATTTTGCCCTACCCTCTACCTCTCTCCATTAAGAAAGAGCAGCCTGACATCACAGCTGCATGAGCACTTTTACATCAAAAGGAATTTTCTTTGCCATTTTCATATTAATGTGCAATGTCAGACCGTAGCATCTCACACATGATCGTCACATGGGAATTTTCTTGCCGTTAAAGACTCTACATTGGAGCAGAGCCCAGCAATTTAAAAAGAAATACAACATTTTCAGATCAAATATTAATTACATGCTAGACAGAATCATATTTTTCAGAGAGAAAAATTATAAACAAGAAGCTAGGCCTTTCTACACAACCAGCAATAATTTTTGGATTTGAAGGCTTAAGAAAGATAATTACATAATTGTGAATTAGAAAAATACTGGCCTACCCTGCATAAAAACCTCCATTAAATAAATATTTTAAGTTTTCACTATGAAAATTCAGTGGCAACGTGCCTTAAAAACTGTAATGAATAAAACATCCCATTAATGAGAGTCAAGTTGCTTTTTACAGATCACATACTTATATAAGAAGTGAACTGGCTTGACAATGTTAATTATTGGATTACGATACATTTGGAAACAAAATGTCCTTTTATGTATTCCTTCACAAGAACTTCCCAAATATTGTAGCAGTCTCCACCCACAAATCCAGTTAACCTTGCTTTTTCAGACTGGGTTGCTGTTCTTCGAGGTTCAATACCCTGAAGCTTGATACAGGAGATGACTGTGATTACAGTTTTGTGCATTCATTCCTCAGAACACGGGTTTAATTTCAGGGTGATTTATAGTAAGTGATTCTGGTTTCCAGTCTGGTTGGAAAAAGTGAATATTGAATGTCCGTGCCCAGTTCTCAAACACTCGTTTCTCTGTGATAAAACGATGATGGCTGCCCTTTCGTCCCCGCTCGTGTGAGATGTACATTGTACATTCATCAGGTCCCAAAGGTTCATAATAATGATAAGGTACTGAAGGATGATTAGGATCCCTGTGGAAAAAAAGAAAATAGGTGGAAGCCAAAGATGTTCTTTGTGCTGATTGAAAAAAGATGCTATCTTAAATAAGCTGGTGGGCTCAAATAATTTGTGTCCCAGTTAAACTCAATTTCTTGCAGTTGGTATTTTTCTAGCATAGTTAAGCAGTACTGGAATGAAGCAAAGATGGTTTTCTTTTTCCTTTTTATTAAAGGGCTCCACTGGCTCAAAAAGAAGGGAGGATGAGTATGCTGCAGTGCCACATTGCTGTATGAAATGTGAAGCATGGTGCTTAAAAGCGATTTATATTCAGTTTGTAACTTTAGAGGAGGGGTGCATGCAGAGGTTTATACTGTATTGAACCAGAGGAAAGGGAGGGAGGAGTTGATGCCGGTCACCTCATTCTCTTCATTCACCTGCTTGTGTGAATGTTTTCCCAGCATGGTGCACACAGATATAACCACACAATTTCATGAATGCTTCCTACGCATATCAGGTTTATGATGCAACTCTCTCCTGCTAACTTTATAATCAAATGGAACCAGTGCACAAATGAATGCGTCTTATAGTGTCAACTTTTATATAATAGGGGGCACAAATAAAAGCCATTCATTCAGGGCATCACTTAGATCTTGTAGCCCTGTGCGCATCAACCTGCAGGGAGGCCACAGGGTACAACATTTTAAATAGAAGGAGAGGTATGTGAGACATAGCTCATTTTAGCAATTTTTGATTCATGGGATGGTACCTGCTACAGAAAAGGTGCTTGGTTTTAATTCTAACACCACATTTTTGCTCTGCTATTTGATTTTTCTATATTGTTTGGAAAAATGTACATATTATCCTCCAAAATACCTTTAATACAGGCATGGCTAATTAGGTCTCACAAGAAAACAAACCCAAGCCAGTGTTACTACTGTAACTTAAATGGAATGTATATGGCCCACGCAAAACAACTCTAGTGTAGTACTGTTCCCTGGCTGATGCAGAATCCCCATAATTCTTCTATGTCACATTCTTAAAGCTGGCCAGAATGCACTACTGTGACTATTCTGCACCATCCTAATGGTCTGCACAAGGTTGTTCCAAGTTGTTGTGACTCGGAGAAGCTCTGAAGTTGTTCTAAACTGTGCAGTGAGCTGGCATTAATAGATCAATGCAGAATCAGGGCTGGCAGCTGTAATACCAAGCTTATTACTTTCAGTTTGAAAAAGTAACTACTTAGAGTTTGATCTCAATTTCAAATCGCATATAAAATAAAGTATTTTGGTTTTGCTCATTATCTCTATTGTATAGTATCTGTCACTTGCACAGTTCTCTGTATCATTTTCCTTATTTCACCATTCTCTACACTGTATGTGCAGCAGAAATGTAAAATATTACTGCTGCTTTCCATTTATCCCTTAGATTAACATTTTAATTCAATCAGTCTAGCTTCCTAATAACACAATACAATACTGAGATCAATCCTCCAGCACCACACTAACAATAAAATTACATTTCCAAAAACAAGATTGATTCTATTCTTATTGTACATAGCCTCATTGGAATATGTATGAGAACTGAAAAAAAAATCAATTATTACTTCATCTACCGAGTCAGTTTTTTTTATTTTAAAAATCCTGTTTATATATGTATTTAATATAGATGGTTTAATCTATCACCACGGTAGATTTCTATATCTCTATTTCAAATGAATGTCACACACTAAGTTTATTATAAAAAGTCCAATGTATTAAAAAGAAAAATAAATCTCTTAGATGAATGGTTTATACTGTTGTCATAAATCCAACAGGGTATATTTTTAATGTGGTATTCAGAAAGAAAATCAGAACTGCTTTGTACATAGGCATGTATGTGCATATTATTTGAATTATTGCTTCTTTACATGTGAAGCCTACTCGCTACTCTTCCCCCCTCCCTCCCCGCCACACATATACATATTCCCTACTATAAAACTGGGGTAACTTTGTTTTAAAACACTGGAAATACTCTGGTGTAAAATTAGATTTATGAGATCAGAACCGAGTTCATGGTATCCATCTAACAAATGCTTTTACTGTGATAACAAGTTAACTGCTCAGGAATCACTCCTGCTAAACTGCTCTTCTGGACTTACCGGCTCTGGCACCTCCTAAGCTTTTAAGAATCATTTTCAAGGCTGTATTATCTATTTGAGAGAGTCTGTCTGTTCAAGAACTTCTCCTAAAAGGTAAGAGCTAGGAGCATCAAATTTGGTATACAGCTTCCTAACTTAAAGCAAGGAAAGGGTTTGGTTATGCCAGGAAAATGGGATGTATCTGGAGTTGGGTTGTTTCTCATAAACTCAAACAGAAAAGAGAATCACCAGGCACGTGAAAGGGGCTGGCTGGGGAGTGCTCCCGCATCCAGGACTGCCTCAGCCCCGGGCTTCTCATGCCCCTAACATCCTTTAGGGATGGCGGGGGAGTCTAAAGCTCTCCCTCCCACCCCAATTCATACAGGGATGATACTGGCTGTTCCTCTTCATCAGGGAGCTAGGGGAAAGGGCAGAGTTTGCTGCATTCCTCACTCTGCCCCCTGTGCTCCAAAGGTAGATGAACCTCGACCTGCCTCAGCCAGGGGACATGCACCCCTCCCACAGCTGTTCTCACTGGAGCTGCAGCAGCCATGGAAAGGTGCTTCTCATCTGGCCCCAACCTGCTGCAGTGAGAGAGGGCTGGGGTTGTCTTCTCTCCCTGGGGCAGCCTGTAAACTGAATCCCTCATCCCCAGCCCCACTGGAGAGAAATGATTTAATTGAAGCATGTATAATTTTATTTTCCAAAAAATCAAAAATTAATTGAGTTAAGGACCCCAGCAATGCCAGATAAATCTTCTAATATTAAAAATAGTGGGTATCCAGCATACTGGATTAGACAGGAATTCCTTTTCCCATCATGAATAGTGCTACATAGTCCTGTATTTTTTTCCCCATCATATCAGCCTACTAGGAAGTTACCCCTTGTTTAAAGCAGGAGTGGTAGAAACTCATTTAGACTTCAGGGTCCAGAATTGGAACTTCCATGTTTTTGGGACCAGGCAACAGAAAAGCAAATAATTCATTTGTATTACGTCACCCTGCTTCTCCTTGTGCCTCTACCTTGAATTTAACTCCCCTGGATCTTATCCTTTGCTTTGTTTGATGGCTTCCAAAACAAGCCAAACTCTCCTGTGTATCCAAGACTTGGAAGGCCTAATCCTGTGCTGGCTGGGGCCCATGGTTATTGCATAGCAATATGTTATTTTTAGGCCCATGACTTGTGAATGACTCCACACTGGCTTCAGTTGGACTCTCTATGGGTAGAAATGTCCACTCATGACATTTCTGGAACTTTCAGGATTGGGTTCCAGAAATTCCAGGTCATTCCTTTAATTCAATGACAACTACTAGAAATAGGTCTGAACCAAAACCAGTATAAGAATGTGCCAAACTCAGGGGAAGGGAACAACCAGATCTGTATCACAACAACTTTGGCCCAGAGCTTAAAAAGGGATTTGATTCCCAGGGGGAGTTAGGTGCCTAAATACATTTGAGCACCCAGGGTTTTGTGTTTAGTCTTCTCTTCTCTTGTATAAGCCAAACCTATATTGCAGTTCCAAATACCCCTGAACTTCAGAAGAGCTGGGTTTGGATCTGAATTCTGAACACAATAACCCAACTTAGCTGTACCATGTTCTCTCCTAACTGCAATTAACTTGTGTCACCAGCAAATGAAACGCATGAATAATCTCTATCAGGAAATTGCTAGTCATCTAATTTATTAATATTAAAACAGATGCTGTTTTACCACTACTTGATACTGGACATTAATCAGAATTTTGTCAGTTAGCATGCATATTAATAGCACAGCTGGGAGGGAACTGCTGGATGGCAGTCTGTAAAATATACTACACTTTCCCACTAATAGCATGCCAGTGCTGACACACGATAAGCACTTGTATCTAGTGTCAATCATTTACTTTTTGCCACTTCAGTGCACATTTTCCCTCAGATGGTATCCACCCACACTGGTACCTGAGAATATAGCAAACAGTGTTTTCACTGAAAGGAATGAAGCAGAAAAACAAGGCCATCCCATCTCCCACTCCAGTCAATCCCTTCTTTTACAAATTAGAAGTGGTTGTAAAGCAGCATTGCAGAATTATACTTGCTCATTTGGGGTGAGCACTAGTTATTTTGAAGGGCAAATAAAATGTCATTGTTCTTTATCATCAGTCAGCATGCCAAAGTATAGACAAACAGATTTTGTGCTTAGGCTATTAAGTTTTCTGGATAATTTTGCCTCCTCTCTCCAGTGCTCATTGCCTCTGGAATCTCATTTTGCTCCTGATTACACAGGTCTGAATTGTGCAGGCCTGATTCAGGCTGTGCGCTCTCAGAGCTCAATGAGTAAGGACTGAAGGAGATACCCCACTATGAATAGTTGCTATTCAATTGAAAATAAAAGGCATAACTCCCAACAACAGAACTAGGAACAATAGCTACTGGATTTAAGGCAAGCGGGAATGGGACATAGTAAGAAATCACGTTTAGACATGGTGGCTAAAGGAATAAATTACAGGATTTTTAACACCAATTTGCCTAACTTTCCATAAATAACAAATGACCTGGCAGCCAAAGAAGAGAATTCTTGATAGGAAAATATAATTTTTTTACCTGACTCTAAATTGCCTCCGGTGTAGAAAGAGTTAGTCATACTGTGCAATTAAAACAGGGGCTAGAATAAGCTCGAGAGTGGGAAGATCACAAAACCATGCTGGAGCTTTCCTCAGGCAAAGCTCCTCCCCAAATGCAGAAAGCAGACTATGTATGGGACCAGCCACCCCTCACCAAGTAGCTGTTAAGTGCCGAACAGATTGTGTGGGGTTGCAAAAGGAGTAGGAGCCTGGCTGCGCAATAGGACACCATTTAGAGATTGCCTCAGATTTCCTAGCAGGAGCTAATGCAGCCAGAAGTAACATCAACCTCTTGTGTCCTTCCAGCAGATGCTTCT